ATATATTCTATTATTAGTTCTTTTTTTTTTATTATTAATTTTTTTAAATAAGTATAAAATTATATTATATAACTTAATTATTATATTAATTATATATAATTATTTTAAGTATAATAAACCGTTATAATAGCATTACTCTATACTATATATACTACTATTATACCTACGTTAATTACTAGAATTACTTTTAATACCTAATCTTTTACCTTATAGTCTAATAGTATAGGCGTACGTTATATTTTAAAAGCATATAGCTAGTGGCCTAAGTTTAACTCCCGCCACTAATAGGAAGCTTATTATATATATAAAAGCTATATAAGTACTAGTATAGGGGGCCTATATACTAATAGCCTTCCTAGGGGTTAAATTAGTAGCTAAAGTCCCTAGAACGAGGTTAGTACCCTTAGGGAGCCTCCTAGGTAGCTATAGATAGCTAGCTAGAGGGGAGGAGTATAGTGTAATAAACTGTTATAGCGGCACTACTCTGCGCTATATATACTACTATTACGCCTACGTTAATTGCTAGAATTACTTTTAATGCCTGATCTTTTGCCCTGTGGTCTGACGGTATAGGCGTACGTTATATTAAGGTATATTATAGATTAATATAGCTTTTTTATAGTTTAGTTTTAGATCTTTTTTAAGAGCTTAAAAGGTAAATATAATACCTACCTCTTTTAAAGGGACTTCTATAAATAGTTATTAAGTAATAAAAGTACTAAGGTAAAAAGTACTAAAAACTAGGTAAAGTAGGTAACTTACTTATCTAGGTAACTTACTTATTAACTACGTTAATAAATAAATAAAATATAAAAAAATAGATTTTTATTAGGATTAGATTTATATTTAATATAATAAGATATTAATATAGTTTAGTAATAGTTTTTTTATTATTATAAAGATAAAAGTACTAAATAAGTTATAAAAGTTTAACTAAGGTAATCGTTAATATCTTAAGATAAAAGTACTAGATAAGTTATAAAAGCCTAACTAAGGTAATTTCATTAATACCTTAAGATATTATCTTAGATATTAGATTTTTTAATTTTTTTAATTTACTAAGCTACCTAATATCTTAAGAGAAATAAAAGTAATAAATAAATTAATTAATACTAGAAGTTTATAAACTTTATTAAAATATAGTAATATCTTATAATTAATTTACCTTAAGAATATATACTAGATAGAAAACTCGATTAGAGACTATATTAGAAAGATCCCTTCTATATAGGTACTAGGTATACAGAAGTAAGTTATATCTGCTAAGACTCCTATCCTAGCCGAAGTTAGGTGTAACTTAAGGTACCTCCGGATCCACAACAGTCTTATTGGCTAACTATCTATAGCTGTTTATGTTTCCGATCCTCTGCTGCTACTGGCCAAAAAGGTGAGAAAAACTTAGCAGGCGAGGCGTATCATGCACTCACGAAATGGACAGTGTCGACGACGTATTCAAGGTGACAGCTAGATCGCCGAAATATCATATAAGCTCAGCCGCTAACCTTCTTCGCAGAACGCGGGGCTTCGAAACCAAAACAAAAGGAAGCTTGATGCCGTGCGCGACCCAAGTATACAAGCATGATCGTTACCCACAGTATCGAAACGAGCTGACTTGGTAACAGATGAGATATACAAATCAAGCCGCCTGTCAACCGATGGCGATCCGTACCGCCGCGCACGACTCGAAAACTACCAGGCCGAAGACGAAGATGAGCAGGATATCGGGCCAGAGCTGCCACCCGTGGACGACAGCAGCGAAGATGAAGAGGGGCGTTTCTTTGGAGGTGGTATCAGCGAGAAGGAGTCGCAGATCCTCGACTACGTCGATGATGCAGACGCTGGCGCTGCGCCAGAGCGAATTGACTCTGGATGGCTGCGCAAGACTGTGCTCAACTTCGAAAAGCACATTGCAAAAAACGCTGAGCTGCGAGCCAAATTTGAAAGTGAGCCCCAAAAATTCATCACAAGCGAAGCAGACCTTGACGCAGACATCAAAAGCCTCTCAATTTTGGCCGAATATCCCGAATTATACGCAGAATTTGTGAGACTTGGTTGCACCGACAGTCTCGTCGGTCTGCTGACGCACGAGAATACAGATATTGCGATTGATGCAATAGAGATCATTGGAGAGCTCACAGACGAGGACGTAGCCGCAGAGGACGCGCAATGGAACGAATTGGTCGATGCTCTCTTGAACGCTGACCTGCTCGACCTTCTCTTGTCCAACCTTTCACGACTCAATGAAGACAACGAGTCAGACCGAAATGGTGTTTACTATTCTCTCGGTATATTGGAGAATTTCTGTTCCAGGAGCCAAGTTGCAGCTCGCATAGGCAACGAGGAACATTTGCTACAGTGGCTCATCCAGCGCATCCAGCGCAAAGAAGTCAAGGTGACGCAAAATAAACAATACAGCGCCGAGGTCCTCGCCCTCGTGGCACAAGCATCAGAAACTAGCAAAGAGGTTCTTGCTGAGGCCGATGCAGTAGATGATCTCTTACAGCTTGTCGCGCAGTATCGCAGACGAGATCCCGCCAGAAATGGAGAGGAGGAGGAGTATATGGAGAACTTGTTCGAGGCCTTGACGTGCATCGTGGACTCGGACGCGGGCAAGAGCAAATTTTTGGAAGCAGAAGGCGTTGAGCTCTGCCTCATCATGATGAAGGAAGGGAAAAGGGCCAGAGCACCGGCATTACGTCTACTTGACCATGCCGCTTCTGGTGTGTGTGGCATTAACACCTGCAATCAGATTATCGCGGCTGGAGGGCTGAAAACCATGTTTACTGCGTTTATGAAGACAGCTGAGCATCGAACCGTTGACCACCTTGTCAGCATTTTCGCAAACATGCTACAGCGCTTCCCCGCCGAGTCTGCAGAACGCATTCGGACTCTCGCCAAGTTCGTGGAGAAGGGCTACGAAAAGACTACCAAGTTAGTCGAGCTCTTCTGCGACTACAAAAGCAAAGTTTCTGCTGCTGTGCTACAAGTTGAAGCCAACCGACCACAATATGGGAATGGCGAGGAGCACGCCTATCAAGTCCTTGCCGCTAGGCTCGATAACGGGCTCTTTACACTCCAACTAATTGCCTTAATTCTCTCATGGCTTGTGGCAGAAGACAATGGCGCAAGACAGAGGATCAAGAAGCTGCTAGCAGAACATGACGAGCACCTGAGCTCTTTACTAACACTAGTACGAGAGCAACAAGACGGATTAGACACGAGCGAGAAGGATAACAAGAATCTAAGTGTTATGCTGGGGGCGCTAATAGAGTTTCTTCAATGAGTTCCATATCTGTTATACAATGCTTCTTTTGATACAACTAGCGATAAGGGAGTAATATGATCATCTAGTATCGGACAAGGTTCTAGGCACAACTATATCTGAGAGTATATTCTCAGACATCAGCTGCATCGCCAGCGGAAGCAATCCTCGTTCACCTTACGCAGCTGCAGGGGCTACCGTGTTCACGTCAAAGACGGCGGCCAGTAGCTCTCTCACGACAGCATCCTGCTTCGACCTTCCTACCTCAGTAATCTGCTTGATTTGTTTGTCGGCCTCTTTGTTCGCTTCATCCTCGGCTTGCTTGTTGCCCTTGCTATGCTGTGGCGAATGATCCCTATTAGCAATGGTATGAAATGCGTGGTCAACGGCTGGAAACGGACCTCAGCCTCGAATTTTGTGTATTCGTCCTCCTTCGCGGCCTTGTAATCAGCAATTTCCTTCTTAGCATCGTCACGGGCTTCCTTGACACGCTTCGTGCGGACTAAAACAAAGTGTTAGAACCTCGACTGAACCATCGCAGTCGCTACAAAGGTAGAGCGAGCTCCCGTACGCACATTCTCTGGCTAAGTAAAGCGAAATTGAACCATTAGCGAGCTGACAGGCAGACAAGACGGTGAGAACCGAAGCACCTACACTTTTGCACGATCTTAGAGGCCTCGCGCTCAGCCTATGGGTCATGTTAATGATGATGCTCCCCCCATATTCCCAGATGTTTATTGTGTGGAAAAGTACACACATCTAGCAGGGTCTGAATGCCTGCCGAGTTCTGGGCCGACTATGTTGGGTTAGTTGTTGAACAACAAATTCAAGACGCGCCGCCCGATGAAGGCGCGCGAGGAGTAGCTGACCATAGTTAAATAGCAAGCACTGTGTTCACTTAATAGTTGGGTGCGATTCGGAGGCGGGTCAGCGCTCGAAGAGTCAATGGCTAAGATTGATGAATATGCTGCGGTGAGGTTGCAAGATGACCATGGCAGCGTCGGTTGTTGTGGACGTAGGCAACAAGGCGGCTGAGCTTAGGTGGGGCTATTCTCCTACCTACCTACTTAGGTACTCCTTCTCACGCGTCATCGCCGGCGCACGATTCCGGGCCCGGAGCTTTTGCCACGCAACGAGTTTCTGTCAGAGCGACATAAGCGGCTCCAGGGGACCTATCTCAGTTGGGGCTCAAAGATTGCAAAGAAGAGAAATACCCCACCAGAGACATCACGAGTGTCGACACCATGTCACGAGCTTCCAAGCTGACCCTTTTCGGCACCTCTCTCTTCGCTGCTAGCACCATTGTCTTTGTTCATTTCCAACAAAAATCTGAGCAGCAGGTACGTCACCGTGTAGCAAAACCCTGGGAGAAGAGTCAATTCCACGTGCCTGTATTTACTGACAAGTTCCGCCGCAGGCCATGCACCAGGGTGTTGTCCGCGACCTGGAGCAGCAGCGAGTCAAGCGCGAACGTCAACTCGATTTCGCCATGCAAAAGGCATTGGAAGAAGAATACAAGCGTGAACAAAATGTACATAGCTCATTGGAGCCTCCGCTACGAAGCGAAGGCAATGGGACGAACAAGCCATAGTCTGCTCGCGGGCGAATAACATCATCGATATCTGTAAATCTACCACCTGTAACCCAGGTACCTGTCTACACGGGAGGGGCATGCTCTTCCCGTCTCGTGTATGTTAGAGGAATGTTGCCATGGTAATCGCACCTTTTAACATATCGTGAGAACTTCCGACATCCTATCTGATAAGCTAGAATCCATTGCGATAAGCCATTAAAATATATTATCTACGAAAATTTGTCAGAGCATATCGGAAAACAGTCCCACTCCCGCGTAGAGATGGCATGGCGTAAAGTCTAGCTCATGCGCACGGATTGCCCTGTTTATATTATCTGAATATCGATACGATGCATAGTTGAGGCTCAAGACCCCCCGGGTAATTACCGTTATGCTGCCCGCTATTATTGTACATATTTGCGCCGATCATCTCTCCTATATGTTACGTCCAGTTTGACAGAACCGATTTAAGATGCTTTGAACCATAGGCTTCTGTCTCTAGGCCCCCCCTCCCTTCCAAAATGAACCAGCAGAATATAACTAGCAAAATGCAACTGCTCCACCTTCCACATCCAGCTGTCTTCTACCTGATCGAGGCACCAGATCTGTCCGTAAACATACGTGCTGCAATGTTCATGGATTGAAGTTCTTGGAACAATAGCTTGGCTGCGTACGGAATGTGAATCTGGGCAATTTTGGTCTTGTTCTTGCAAGGTCTGCATTCAAAAGATTGCTTTGAAAGATTTCTGTAAATCGCGTTAGTTCTGCTTGGGTCAATAGTAATAGCAGGTGCAACTTACGCAATCGGCGTCATCAAGCCGCAAATCTCGCAGATGTGCACTCGGAACGCATCAGACACTTCAAAGAGGCGCTCCTTCAAGAATGCTGCTGCACCATGCGCAATCATGCAATCACGTTCCATTTCGCCGAAACGCAACCCCCCATCCCTTGCACGACCCTCCACGGGTTGTCTAGTCATGATCTGCACAGGGCCACGGGCACGGGCGTGAATTTTGTCGTCCACCATGTGACGCAGACGCTGGTAATAGGTCGGTCCGAAGAAGACCTGAGCACGAAGTTTCTTACCAGTGTGACCGTTGTACATGATCTCAAACCCGCGGGACTGATAGCCGTGCTTGCGAAGCAAGTCGGAGACAGAATCGACAGTGACGTCGGTAAATGGAGTAGCATCGCCTTCCATACCTTCTAAAGTCGAAACCTTGCTCAAAAGACATTCGATCAGATGAGCAATTGTCATTCGAGAGGGAATGGCGTGCGGGTTGATAATGATATCTGGGGTGACCCCCTCTCTCGTGAATGGCATATCTTCCTGTCGGTATGTGACACCAATGGTACCTTTTTGGCCGTGTCGTGAAGCAAACTTATCACCGATCTGGGGTATCTTGGTCGTACGAACCCTGACCTTGACGTATTTGACGTTGTCGGCGTTGACAGTCACAATGACTTGATCAACAATACCATTTTCGGTACTACGCAGAGGCGTAGAGATATCACGGCGCTGATGCGCAGTTGTACGCGCGCCCAAGTCTTGCGTCTCTGGGTCAATTGGCGCAGTTTTGCCAATGATAATGTCTTCTCCAGACACACGAACGCCAGGAGCGACAATACCGTCCTCATCGAGCTTGTCGTAAGTACCGTGTTTCATGCGCAGGGTGCTTTGGTGGAACGGCTTTTCGAATATCTCTGTGTAGTTCAAACCGACCTTTTTCTCTTGATCAGAGTACGAACGAAAGAACAAACTTCTGAAGAGTCCGCGATCGATACTGCTTTGATTCATGATCACAGAGTCCTCCTGATTATAACCGGAATAACAAGCAATCGCGACGATGGCATTTTGACCTGCAGGCAATTCTCGGAACTTCAAGAACTCCATGGATCTAGTCGTTGCCAAAGGCTTTTGTGGGTAGTACAGGATATTTGCCATAGTATCCATACGACGAGAATAATTTGTCAGGAAGAAGCCCATGGCTTGTTTACCCATTGCGGATTGGTAGGTGTTACGAGGCGACTACAACTCTGGTCAGTAACTGAATTGCCGGCGTATATGTGATGAGAAGCTTACTTGATTGTGGTCTGGGAAAGGAATAATGCTTGCGCAGATACCCAAGATCATACTCGGGTGAATTTCACAGTGAGTGTACATGTGTGTAGTTGGGTTGGTTTTAGTCTTCAGGCGCTTGTTCAGATCATCGCCATGGTCGTCGTCGACAGCTACACCCGCTTTCTGAAGTCTATAAAGCTCCAGATCCTCCGGGGTCATGCAAATCATTGACGTCTCCTCTTCTTCAGCGTCTAGATACTCGACAGCGCCAGCTTTGATCAAGCCCTCCCAACCCGTCTTCATTTCTGGATCATCTGGCGGGTCGGCTTGCTCTTGCGCCAGTCTGTTGACTAAATCCTTGGTGAGACCGAGCTGTCCCTTTTCAAGGCCAGTCTCCGGGTCATTTTTACTTTGCACAGTAAAAACAGGCCGCATGACTCGGCCAGCATCAGAGAAGATCTTGAATTCCTGGTCACGGATTTCTCTGACAAGAGACACCTCATACTGCAGGTAGGACTTGCGGCGGGTGTCGAATACCTGGTCAGCAAGGTGCTTGGGGTCCTGGTGAACTCCAACCCAGGTCCCGTTGACAAAAATCTTGGTAGCGTGTGGGTATCTGAGTGGTTCGTACTCCTCAATGACCTCCATACCCCTGTTGATCATGAAGTCAATGAGCGGCTCGGCTGGGGAGCCGACGCTGACGTAGCACATGAGAGACAGATTCTTGACAAGACCGCAAGCCTGGCCTTCAGGTGTCTCAGCAGGGCAGACAAGACCCCAATGAGTATTATGAAGCTGACGAGGTTTTGCCAGTTTGCCATCTCTGCCAATGGGTGTATTGGTACGTCGAAGGTGGGATAGTGTTGAGGCAAAAGTATATCGGTTCAAAACCTGGGACACACCAGCAGTTGAGCTCATAGCTTTTTTCTGGTCACCCCAATTACCAGTAGCAAGAGAGTACTTGAGGCCGTTCGAAAGCGTGCCAGGCTTAACACCGACAGCTAGATTGAAGTGGCGGTTACCCTCGACGCAGCGTCGCAGGTAATTGGCGAGCTCTGAGTGCATTCGGCGCATGATACCGCGGAAGAGTTTCGCAAGTAGTGGACCTGCTAAATCAAGACGCTTTTTGCCGAAGTGGTCTCTGTCGTCAGGCTCCCGACGCCCCAGAGCGCACTGGAGTAGTTTGTGGACCATATAACCGATAAAGAAGGCTTTGCGCGTCTCGCTACCAGCCTCCTGGGAGATGTGAGGCAAAGTTTCTTTCTGAAGAATGTCGCGTGCCACACGAATACGTTTATCGCGTCCGAGACCAGCCTGATCCCGATTACCACGCTTACCAATGAAGTCGAGGGCGACTTCACGGTCTTGGACGCAGAAAGCTTCCTCGATACAAGGCCGAAGCATTTCCAGCATCTGAGAGTCTTTTCGGTCGTAACAAATGTGGTTGAGAATATCCTCGTCGGAGACAACGCCAAGTGCTCTAAATACAATGGCGACAGGAAGGTCTGCTTTAACAAACGGAAGAGTTGTATGAATCGTTTGCCCGAAGCCGCCACGAGCTGACTCACCCTTCCCGTAGAGCTTGAGCATCATGCTGGAGATGAGACGCGAGCCTTTCTCCAGAGCGCTTCTGATTTCAGCAGTGTATGTATAAGGGCTGGGCTGAGCCTTCTTGAAGACCTGAACAATATTGGCGGCGGAACGCTCTTGGGCGATAAGCACCTTTTCACTTCCATTGATAACAAAGTAACCGCCCTGGTCGTATGGGCACTCATTGACAAGAAATAAATTCTCGTCATGCTCGCGGCTCAAATGGCAGACTTTAGATTTGACCATGACCGGCATTTTCCCGACGAAGACCATGTCCTTCCAGGCATCAGGCTTGTTGGAATTTTCGGGCTCTGGCGCATCCTCCGATCTCCAGGCCAACCGTGTAGGCAGCTCACCAGTTTTGGCATACTCTGTCTGTTGAGCATCATCTAGCTCGTGCAAAGGTATTTCCGTTTCCACAGCAGCTTGCACTTTTTTGGTAATCTTAATGTAAACCGGCGCTGCATAGGTCAGGTTACGATCGCGGCACTCGTATGGTAGAAGCGAAGTCACGGTCCCATCGGTCTCACTGATCGAAGGCCTCGATACCATGATGCTGCCGAACTCGATCTCGTATCGGCGGACGCTTATCTTCCGGTCGTCGTTGGAGGGCGGGTTGGGTTGGTCGAGAGATATTTTTGAGTACTCGCTGACAAGGTCTTGGATAGTTGACTGAGTAAATTCATCAAAGGAGGCAGTTTGCTGAGAGACGAGGCCCTTGGATTCGAAGAAAGAGGAGATGACGGTCCAACAATCTTCGGGAGTGATGCCCGAATCTTCTTCCTCGTAATTCTCGTAGTCGTATTCATCCTCGTAGTCTGCCATCGTGGGCGATATGAACTGCCGCAACAGCGGCGGCTTCCGTGAGTCAGATCTTTCCAGACCCAGATGAGCAGATCTGCGCGACGAGGTTGGGCTTGATGTTTGTGCTCAAATTGTTGGACGCGCCGAGAATCGGTGGCAAGGGATTCAATTTAGGCCAAGCTCCTGTTGGCCTACGCATGCATGTGCGCACAGAAGCTTAATGACGCAACACGCGCGACTGATCAACCTAGATTCGCACAATTGCGCAGGGGAAGGCTGGAAAATGGTGTCGATTGACTGCCGCTTTGGGGAAATAGGTAAAAGATCACGGCGAAGATCTGGCCGGGCTGCTGCGTGAGGCTGATTCAGGCGCTAGTCCAAAAAAAAAGGACACGACGTGACTAGGTACTGACTAATCTGAATCGCCTGAGCTAAGGAGGCATTCAACGTTTGGACACACAAGACGCGACAATGAGCACAGCACATGGCAAAGGTTGGCAAACAGACTTTGATTCTCTATCGCAATTACTCTTTATCTCTTTCAGAGTTTTAAACATGATCATTGCTATATACTCTAGTAGCGTTTCAGTGTAAGCCGGCTATTAGGTCTTTTATTAGTTAGAAGTGTCAGCCCTTCACTAAAGAGAAGGGAAACGCAGGTAACAAGATCAATGAAGGTAAAGGTATTATAAACTCAGGCTCTATAGCCTACCTTTTTCATATTCAGCCTAAGACCACTATAGACTAAAGCAGGCCTAGTATAAGCCTATATAGGCTATATTATATATTATCATTTATATAGTAGATTTCTTCTATCTCTTTTTATCTTCTTAAAAAATATAAATAATAAAATACTTATAAATAATAGTTAAAAATTAGTTTATAATAGATAATTATTTTTATATTAAAGAAGAAATTAATAAATTAATAAAAGAAATATTTTTAATAGTATTTATAAACTCTAATTATTATTATTATAATACTCTAAGTAAGTTAAATAACTTATTTAATATCTTTATAATAATAAATTAAAAAAATTAGAGTATTTAAAGAAAAGCCTTAACTTTTAATTTAAATATAAGATAGTTTTATAGTTTT